GATGATGGCTTTGGTAAGCTACGAATCATACGTGGAGAAATTCTTCTATCTGAAGTTTATGCTGATAATAATTAGAATAATGAAAGCTCCATAACTAAAACTTCCAGTTCAGAGAACTTAAACTCTATCACATCCATCGGAGCTACAAATTCTCCTCACCATCTCAATCCTTTGTAAATCATCATTGCAACTAAACAAATATTATATCCTATAAACTATTGATTTTTTTTCTCCCAATTTTCATTTCGTATAAATTATTAATAATAATAATTGAAAAAAAAAACAAACAACACTTTATTTCTATTTTTTTTAATTTTTTTATCAAGTATGGAAACATTTCCCGAAGTGGCTTCATTAACTCTACAAGCTCTATCTGGTTTATTAGCACAAAAACCATGTCCATTGTCTATTGAACGTTTATGTCAATTATTTGTTGTCAATATGTTCAATGTAGATCGAGCGGCATCGATGACAGCCAATCAAACACATACAAATACAAATACAAACACGACAAATACACTAAATCATTCCGTGAAAAATCGATTCAATGAATCGGCTAAAATCAATCATCTCAATGATGATGATCATACTACTACTGTGATGGGCATGGATAATTTGGTCGCTTCTGCTTCTACTGCTTCACGTCTGCATGAAATTGATACGCTACGCTCGGTTCATCATGATCATGCGGCACGATTTGCATTGGATACATTTAGTTTAGTGTGTAGACGAGCAGCACAATTACTACAAGAGGTGAATATTGTTAATAATAATAATAATGTTTATTGATTTTTTCTCATAATTAAAATGATTTATTTTCGTCTGAAATTATTACAACATTGTAAGAACGTCGTTGGCTTACAATGAGGTTGAAGGAGAGGAGAGAGAGAGAGAGGGAACGGTTTCTTATCGAAATGAATATATATTTATATATATATATATTGAGCTACCTGTCAGTCAGTCAATAGACACTACCTAGTTGTGAAACAATTCGCAGAGAAAACATTGTTACGCCTGCACGTATGCACCACAACTTGATATACTTGAACTATTACGAGTTTATCTAGTCGGAAAACGAGAGCGAGGATTGAGGATCCGGTGACATGACATGCTACTCAAATCCGATTATCCCAACCCCCATATTTAGTAAAAATAAGACAAGACTTGAATGTGAAGTAGAACCTGTATTCTACAAGCATCCAGAAAGTACGAGGTCCGAATCCAGAAGAGAAACAGGATCACGGACTAGGGATCCGGGACCGAGCCTCGTGTCCTGGTCGTGGTCATAAAGCTTTACAGATAATGCTTATTTATACATTTTGGCCGAATAAAAAACAGCATCGAATTATGTGACATTGACAGTGAAGACGACCAATAGGAAGTAACATTTGGAGTGACATTGATAGTCAGGACAACCAATAAGAAACAACATAGGAGTATGTGACATTGATATCTAGGACGACCACAAAATTGACCAATAATTCTCTTAGGATATTGGATGAATATCCCAACATATATATATATATATATATATGTATATATGTATATATGTATATCAGTCAATCAATAGATACTGCCTAGTGGTGAAACGATTCGCCGCGAAAATAACAATGAGATAATAGCTTTATTGTGAATAATTAAGCCTCAATAGTTGAATGATTGGTTGTTAGTTCGTGTAAGGAAAACGTTAAGTTTATTATCTCTTATAGAAGTTGCTTACTTATTTACTTACGCCTATTATTCGCGATGGAGCATAGGCTGCAAACCAGTTTTCTCCGGACTACTCTTTTCCTGGGCCTCCCTTTCCAGTTCTTTCCAACTCTTGTCTCAGTTACTCGGCGTAATTTGTTTCTCGACCTTCCTCCTTTCCTTTGAGCTTGATTGTTCCAAGTATGGGCTTTCTTTACTTGTGACGCATTTGGGTGCTTTCTTGAATGTGTATCCTGTCCACTTTTATTTAGCGCTTCTTCTTCGTTTCTTCCTCTACTGGAATGTGGTTTATTCTTTCGCACAGTAGATTGTTGCTGATTGTGTCTGATTAACGAATCCAAGTTATCACTACATGGAGTTTTCAACATCAACCAACCGATAATGCTTAAAAAGTTAGGGCTTAATATTAAATATCAAGCTGTAGTTTTGTGTTAGGTTAGGTTTTACAAATTAAGATTAGAGTTTTGATCACTAATTGATATCAGCTACGATGTAACTCTTTATCCTTCTACTGTTCATAAACTTAAGAGACATAGAGTTGAAAATGAAAATAAGAGTTAAACCGGTGAGAGAATCCTATCTAACTGCAGTAAATATTCTAAACAACGCATTCAATCACAACAGGTACTTTAACAATACACAGTCAGTCAGTCAGATGCAACATAGAACTTCGTACGTAAGTACATCCATCAGTTCATGTCGCCATACCACATCGGCACAGATGTAGAAGAGGTAGTAAAGGTATTAGAAGTAATCGGAGAGGTTAGGATTAGAAGATATTATTCAAGAAGTATGATTAAATGAGAAAAGTTTAGAAAGTCAAAACTAGGGGGGTTGAAGAATCCAGAAGATTAGGATTTGAGAGAACACAAAGAATAAATGCACCGGCGCCATTGCGAACGATTTTGAGCCATGTCATTCAAGGTCTCTGACCATCAATTATTATCATCTCGCGGACCCAAACCACGTAGCCTACATCTACCAACATGACTCAGTCCACCCGTCAATGACTTCATGGATTTCTGCCATGTTTTGGTTTGGCCGCCCCTAACTTTCTTCCAACCGACTCCTACACTACAAAACAAAGCTCGTCGCGGCAGTCGATGGTTAGGCATACGTAACACATGTCCCAACCACCTCAACTGATGAAGTGTCACTACTGGGTCTATTGATCTGCCATTCTTACCTAACACCCGTTTCCTAATAACAGCGTTGCTCACTCGGGTGTCCCAATACACAGTCTGTCCTAGGGTGTATATTTGTTTTTGTTAATTAGCTTTTGATTGCATAATAGTAAGTTTGATTGAGTTAAATTATTTGAAGAATCAAATATATATTGCTAATTTCTACTTTGTTAATAATAACTTACAAATTTTGTGTATCACTCACTGCACTTTAAGTTCTTCGCAAAATACCTGATACATTTTCTCAATACTCATTGGTTAACTCAAGGTCATCGGTTAATTATTAGTTTACCATTTTTTCTCTTCTATAACTTCAATAGAGAATAATTAATTATATGTTGATATATTCGTCACTTAAATGAACTTATTTATTTAGTTATAGAAGTGTTTTAGCTGTTTCCTGCAGCTGAATTACTACGAGTCATAGCATCAATTTATTGACTTTGATTTAAGATAATGTATAATTAAAGGCGTGTTGGTGGTTCAGTAGTCAAAGCAGTTATCTCTCAATTGTTAAGCCTTATTTTCGAACTTCATATCGCCTACTACGAAGTAAGGCAGCTGGGTAGTACTACTATTAGACTTTACACTTAAGGTTTGAGCATGAGCCGAGGTTATATATGTCTAGAAACTGACTTATAAGTCAGTAGGCTTTGGTTACCCGAATTACATAGTCAGGAACAGAGTAGAATAGTTTATAGACTCACTAAGACGTCATACTAACCGATTAGTAAATAAACACATATGTGATTATTTTGGTGCATATTGTATTGCTTTTTAATTGTTTTTGTAACGTAAGGCAGCTTGTAGTATGTGTACAAATATGTCGAGTCCACAGAACTTGTCCCAGTCGTTGGACATACTGATTAACCTTTTCTAGCCGAGTTATTATTCGACCTTGTTTGTTATTTACTGGTAATCTTGGTTGTTTTTGATTGAGTTGTTTGTGTGTCGCTTAC